TGGATCTGTTGAATGCTTACCATAGGTGTCCGGCGAGCTGTCCAATGACGGCCAACCGATGCGCAAGTTCTTGCAGACGTTTGTATTGGCGCCGCAATCGTCCACAAAGTATTACGTGAAGAACGATATCTTCCGCTATCAGGACGACATCTTCGTCGACGACGACGACTATCCCGATGTGGACAAGAGCTCCGACACCGTAGGCTTAGATAAGCCCGAAGTGCCCTCACTCAAGCCCGTCGACACCCGCGACGGCCCCATTCTCTCGACCCCCAGCGCTACCACCACTGGCGGCGACGTCCGTGAGTTGAATCCCGTCGCTCCGACCGGTGGTAACGCCGTAATCGGCGGCACCGATAGCTCGGCCACCGATTTGTACGGGAATACCAACGGCTCGCTTCACGACGCCGTCGACCCTCACGTGGAGAGCAATGAAGTGTCTGAAGAGAAGGTCAATGAATTGAATCGGACGGACACTATCGAGAGCGAGCCATACCTGACCGCCAACGATGACAACACGTCGGCGTCGCCCCTCCCGGCGCTAAGCGAAGTGACGGTCAAGAGTTACGCCAATATGGTGAAGAACCCCAACTACATCCCGACCTACGCCTCCCAATCGGCGTATCAGCCGTCGAAGGTGTTGGAGACCACAACAGCGCCCGCACTATCAGCCGGTCCTCCCTTTCCCCGACCTGTCGAGTCGTCGCCCATCCCTCCGATGAGCGCCACTACTGTCGGCAATAACAACTTCAACGCTCCCATCAATACGGCGTCTTCGGTAACCGGGAAACCGCCGAACAATCTTAACAACAACGCCGGCGGTAACAACACCGGTAGTGGCGGTCCTCCCCGTGGTGTCGATCCGCGCGACCAACGACCCGGTCGTCCCATTCGTAACCCGCAACCGTACAATCGCCGGACCGACTCGCGTGAGATGACTCCCGGCCGCAGCGGTCCGTCCGGCGACTCGGACTCAGCCGACGGCGAGTATCGCGAGAAGAAGCAGTTCCCGGACGAAAATCAAGTGTTTGTGGGAAACCTTCCGCATAACATCGTTGCGGAGGAAGATCTGCGCAAATTGTTCTTAAAGTACGGCAATATAGTGGACGTGCGGATCAACAGACAGAACCAGAATCGGGGCCCAACCACTCCCAACCCCAACCTCAAGACACCCAACTATGGCTTCGTTACGTTCGAGAGTCCAGACATCGTCCAGAATATCCTCCGACAAAAGGTATTTTGCTTTTCACTGCGAAATGAGATTATTTGTTGAATACATCTGTTTTTGATTAACAAATTGACTCTTTGTTTGTGTTTTCCATTTGAACCAAAAGCCGATTTACTTCGATAACCATCGATTCAATGTCGAGGAAAAGAGATCCCAAACCGGAAGGGGTTCCATGGGTTACGATCGCAACTTTAACCGCGGTTCGGGTCCGCCCATGCGAATGGAAGGCGGCGGCGGTGGTGGCGGCCGACCAAACGACGGCCGACCGCCGGGAGTGGGACCCGGAATGGACCCAAACAGAATGCGTCCGTCAAACGATCGCATGGGTGGCGGTAATCCTCGGCCCAGAAATCAGTACAACTCGGGCGGCGGCGGAATTGGTGGACCGCGTGGTCCCGGAGGGCCTGGAAGTGGGGGCCCGGGAGGCGGCGGCTATAACCGCAACAATTCATTCAATAACAACAACAACCGTCAGCCGCGTTAATACCCATTCAAACCGTGTCTATCAATGAGTTCTTCGTTAAGACCCATCGCTAATAATATTCAAAACAAAAAATTCAAAAAATGTATTTAAAAAAAATTACAAAACAAAATAACATTATTATAAAAAATACCAAAAGTTTTATTCACTGAGAAAAACAAATACAACTCTCATTCGCCTTCAACTGAGATATAATTTGTAATAAATATTATTATTATAAGTAAAAATTGATATATAAAACGACGTGGACTTAAACTAATGGCGCTTCTTCTATGTGTGTGTGTTTTATACCCGGAATATGACCTGAAAAATGAGATGATAATAATGGCCGCTATATTAGTAGTCATTTGATGTCATGTGAGACAAATGGTGCGTTCAGTACAAGACATCCTCTGAGACATACACACCAACGCTTAAAATCACTCTTAATTAGTCTTTTTGTTAAAACTACTGTAAATGTAATGAATTTTATTTAATTGTTTGTATGTTTTGTTTTCTCTGTCACCAGATATATAGTGATTGTCTTCACACACACTGTTATATATGTGTACCGTTTCTTCACACATGTCTTCACAGATCATAAGATTAGTTGTTTCTAATAATTATGATTATTATTATTTCTTCTAATGTTTAGTTCTCTCTATTATTATTATAATTATTATATTTATTTCAATTTCAATGTCCTTTTTTGTGTCATTTTTTATTTCCTTTTCATATGGTTTTAATCGCAAGAAACAAATCAATTGTAAATACGATTTTAATAATTAGTTAACAAATTTTTCTTTTGTGAAAAAATACATTTTTAAATACAATAATACAATTACTTTCTGAAACAATAACACAATTGTCACATGAAATTTATATACTGTATAATAAGCGAGAGTCTGAAGGACTTGTTGACTGTTTTTTTGTAAACATTTAATTTTGTTTTTAATTGTGTAACCGATGGGACAGTTATCATGAATATTGTGATAAGTAGTCATTCACCCGCTTATTCCCGGCAACCCCTTAACCCTCGTTACCCCCTCTGCCCCCACCCCTCCCACACACACAGACACGCATACACTTACACTATAAACGCGAACAAACACTTGAAATAATTTTAAAAACTTGAAAACATATTGAATTTAGTAATGAAAATGTTTGGATCAGTTGTTGTGATGACAAACAACCGCTTAAATACCTTCTTTGTTACCACAACTCTGGTTTCTAAACACTGTTTTTTTATACGGCATATGATTTACTAGTGATCTCTCTCTCTCTCTCTCTCTCTCT